ATAGGAGTGATTAAGTCCTCGGAAATCGTGTTTTGTTTCAAATTTTTAAAATAACTGTGGTATATTGGGGGCATATAATTAAGCAAGTCCATCATGTCTTTGTATTTTGCTGAAGAAACAGGACGAGATCCAGCGTATAAGATAATATAATATATTATATAATATATTATATAATATAATTTACAAAACTGCAATATTCTCTTTCGCACTTATAAAAATAAGTCCAGTGACACAACTTTTTTAAAAATACTGAAAATAATTCAAAACAATACTTCACTTTCAAAATAAACATATTTGTTATACCGTTAATTAGCAAAACTTCTCTCGAACAAATCTCAATAGTTTTCAACTTATTGATTGTAAATTTTTTTAAAATGAAAAGATACCGTTCAATTGTAATTATTGTTACCATTAACTCGATTTTTTTGAAAAAGTGACTTATGCCACTTTCAAAATAAACGGCTCATTTGTAGTTATCACTAGTGTTGGTACAGTGGAAAGCTGATATTGCATCTGTAAGAAATAAGGTGTGCTACTGTTTTCATCGTCGGTATATTTCAATCATTTTGTCAATAACTCTTTAGCTTTCTTGCATTAGTACTAGATGGCTGCAGTGTTTGTCAGCACTTATACGTGTGAAATTTTCACTTTTAGATTCGTATGCACAACGAATTATAGTATAATATTATTGTAAAATTATTATAGAAAAATATGAGAGAGATCCGATGACATTAATCCTTAAAACTCCAATGATTTTTCATGTTATCGACAGGTTCAATTTTTGTAGCGATGCTCCTGAAAACCAACGATTTAGTTCTGAGACGGCAAAATTCGAAATATAATGCTATACAATTATGTGCATATCTTTTATCGACTGCTTTATTCAAATATGAATATAAATAATATTATTGCTATTAACAGGGCAGTCATTTTTAGATTACTTTGCAGAATGCAAAGGTTTAAATATTGAAATGTTGAATGACGCTACGAGTTGCAAAATGCGGAATAAATATCTATATTTCCTTACCACAAAAATCTTGTTTTTCACACCTTGCTAGCTTCCCCAAGTCTTCCATTTTCGTGCACTTGAACTATGCCAATTGTGTTTTAGCTCGTTATTTCGTATTTTGATTTTGCAGAAAATGTGATTAAGTATTTTGTTTATAATGTATACGTCAAGGTGTTCAATGAATACATTATTTTTAATTTTAGGAAGATTATTTAGAATTATTTAGAATCAACGTGCATTATTTAGAATCGTCAGCTTCATAGTCGAACTTAAAAAAATTAATAGACAAGTGGAACGAAAATTTAAATACTGAATGATACTTCTTGCATATAAAAGTTACTGTAAAATATTATGTACGATTTAATTCCTTCATATCATAATGTACAATGACTCCACAGCCTATCAGATTCCTAAAATTTCCGTATTTGCGACGTTTAATCCGTGATGACGTTGCCAAGAAATGTGTCGAATCACTTGGCGAATAGAAAATTGAATTTGCATTGTTGTTTATACGGACTATGCTATGTTTTCATGAACATGCTATTACATGCGAACGACACACATAAACTGTATCCTCCATGACGGTTTTCCACAGATCTCTCATTTCTAGTGTAATTGACAATTTTAAGACTGGTGTGCTAATTTCACGTTAACTTCGAGATTTCTATTCTAAAAGTTACCATAGCAGCTTGCGACATTTTATAGCATCAACGGAGCCCTCTAATATCCTGTATCCAGTGAAATATGGTGGAACTGTTGATCGGAGATCGTCTCGCCGGGGTAAACAATTATTTTGAAATTTCGAAAAATACTTAAAATTCATGCATACACGTATCTCATGCGAGTCGCAGCACATTAGCAAGTTGGTAGCCATCCAGGCACGTTCTTCTGAATGAGTCCTGGCTGCCATCCAGCGAACAGCCTATCCTTTTACGGGATATCACGGCGGCCGGCTGCTGAAACTTGTCGAAGCGTCCAAGTAGGACCGTCGCCGGAGCTTCTTGTCCGGGATTATCGGCGGCAATTGCGGAAAGTGCATCGAATTTGTGAACAATCGTCCCCGAAATTGCGGATGGTCGTTAACGCCGCTTAAACAACGAGCACGGAGCTTGTTCGCGCGATGGCTTTTCTGTTAACTTCATCAGATGATACCGAAATTGCTCGAGCAATTTATTTATCATTCGTTCTATGTGTCTACTCGTCAAAAACACGCTCTCGACGCGTATTAGCATGTTCATGAAAACATGGAATAGTCCGTATAAACCGGTTCCGTATAAACAACAATACAAATTCGATTTTCCATTTGCCAAGTGATTTGACACAGTTGTTTGCAACGTCATCACGGATTAAACGTCGCGAATACGGAAATTTTAGGAATCTGATAGGCTAGAGTCATTGTACATTATGATATGAAGGAATTAAATCGTACATAATATTTCACAGTAACTTTTATATGCAAGAAGTATCGTTCAGTATTTATATTTTCGTTCCACTTGTCTATTAATTTTTCAAGTTTGACTACGAAGCTGACGATTCTAAATAATTCTAAATAATCTTCCTAAAATTAAAAATAAAGTATTCATTAAACAAAATACTTATATAATATTATATAATAATATATTATAAATACTTATATAATATAATATAATATAATATTATATTATATTATATATTATATAATAATATTATAAATACTTATATAATATAATATAATATAATATTATATTATTATATAATATAATATTATAAATACTTATATAATACTTATAATACATATAAACAAAATACTTAATAACATTTTCTGCAAAATCAAAATATGAAGTAACGAGCTAAAACACAATTGTCACAGTTCGAGTGCACGGAAATGGAAGGTCGTTAAATAAGAGTCTTCTGCGAACCATTTTCGAAGAGCGTGCGAGGATTAATAAATCAGTCCCGAGCGAAATAAGGAGACGCAATTAATTCTCAGCAATGAACCGCGGCGTCGGACCTTTTTTCAGTGATCGAGCTCGACGGGATTTCCCATGAAAACCGAGTCGACGACGGCTCAAAACGCTAAATCGATCACTGATCCCCGAAGTCGGTCGGTGCATAAGAGTCTGCGGCTTCGTAAAAGCGAACGTAACCGCGCTCGAATAAAAACTGTCGTATCCGGGATGGAGTACCGTGACTAGAGACAAGTCGACATCGAAAGGGCTCGATGAGGCATGCCGCAGAGATCGGA